GGCAGTGTAGTAGGAACGGCAGTGTAGTAGGAACACTGTCCAATCTCATACCATCCTCACAAACCCTGCGTATGAACCCATTGTACAGAGCTGGGTCAGTCCAGCTCACTGAGAGCCCTCTGTTTTTCACTGACCTTCTGCTTTGTCAAGGAAGCTCTGATGGTGGTAAGGAGTTGTACAGTCAGCCCAACGGCATATGGTTCAAATCCACTAGTTGCTCTGCAGGAAAAAAAGATGGGCAGTCTCCTCCTGTGCAATTTACTGCCTCTGAAAACCTTCTGGAGGGTCAGCTATGAGTTGATTTCAACTTGAGGGTACACAACAACAACAACGACGACTTTATCAACCATGATGCACTTCTTCAGAGTTTGATCCATGCAGATAACATGTCCAAAGTACATGAGATGAAGTCTCACCGTCCTCACTAGAAGTCTAATACTCCACTTTTCAGGAAGATCAAACTTCTTCCAAGACAAACTTCCTCATTCTTCTGGCTCTTTATAGTATATTTAATATTCTTCATCAACACTGTCATTATATGTGTCAATTCTTCTTAATTCTTCTTTGCTTACTGTCCACTTTCACATGCATATGAGCAATTGAAAATACCATTGCTTGGGTGGTGTACAATTCCACCCACATTCCCAAAGTGATGCCTTTGCTTTTTAACACTTTCAAGAGATTTTTTTGTAGCTTTGCCCAGTGTAATATGTCTCTGATTTCTTGGCTACTATTTTGATGGACAAATCTGCTGCCAAGGATCTCCTTCAAGTACTAAAGAGCAAAGATTCCACTTCAAAGACCAGGGTGAACCAGACCCAAGCTGGGGTATTTCCAGTTGCTTCATATGTATGTGGAAGTTGGATGATGAAATAAGGAAGATCAAAGAGTTAATGCCTTCAAAACATAAAGCTAGTGAAGAAGATTGCAAGGACTGACAAAATAACAAACAAAACTGTCTTGGAAGCAGTCCAGCCAGCCAGTGTTCCTTAGACTTCACAAGGAGTTTGTCCCTGTTATTTGTTTCTGAGAAAGGACCAGTGCCTGTAAAAGGACATTGAGCTTAGAAAAATAAAGAGTGAAGAGAGGAAGAGCTTCCGCAAGATAGATGCAGTGACTACAGCGATGGGCTTACGCGCAGGAGGGCCACGAGGCTGGCACAGGATCGGGCAGCATTTATTCTGTGGTTCAAAGAGTCGCTATTAGTTGGAGCAAATTCAGCAGCACCTAGCAACAACAATACATGCCTAAGTATTGGTCCAAGTAAGATGAAAATCTTGATAACTAATCTTTTCAGTTTATCATTGTGTTGCTTATTGGTCCAGTGGTGAGACTTCTTGTTTTCTTTATCCTGCGGTGTAACATAGAAGCTGTAATTTGATTTTTATCTTCGTCAGTAAACACTTCAAATCTTCGCTTTGCACAGACAAGGCTGTGGCTTCTGCTAGTGCAGGTTGTTAGTTCACTTCCCCCTTGTCCTGAGGTCAAGTCCTTCTCCTGTAGCCCAGCTGCTTCTTTCCTCAGTATCCTGAATGAATGAGTCAGCCGAGAGGACCCAGCACTGAGGCGCACTCTTCTTCATTGAAAACCATCCAGTAGCCCTTTGTTGTCTTTGAACACCTGGCTCTTTGTCTGTGTACAGTTTCTACATGAGCATAGTTAAATATTCTGGAATTCTCATTCTTCATAATCTTACTAAGGTTCTGTTATGATCCACACAGTTGAATGTCTTTGCTTAGTAGTAAAACACAAGTAAAAATCTGTCTCTACCATATCCTCTGCTTTCAACCAAATTTTGTCTAACATCAGTAGTGAAATCTCCCATTCCACATCCTCTCGAGAATATAGTTTGACTTTTTGGAACTTCACTGTAATTTACTGCTTTAACCATTTTTTTCCTTATGTGGGCGTTGGGGGGAATTTTACAAAGTTTTACTTGAGTACGGCGGTTTTCCATAATTGTCACATAATGTTGTATTACTTTTCTTTGGAATGTGCACAAATACTAACCTCTTGCCATTGGTTGGCCAGGTAACTATCTTCCCAATTTCTTTTTTTTTTTTCCCTCTCTCTCTCTCTACTAGTTTATTTACAAAATACAAATTCAAACAATTTTTTTTATTTCCCTCTTCCCCCCCACCCATCAAATTGTACAACCTAATGATTAATCCTCCCTTCCCCCTGTACCTTCACATCCCTCTGCCTCTCCCACCCCTCCTGGATCCTTATACTCATTCTACAATAATGGTCTTATACAATATTTATCCTTGTGGGACTGAGTTAGTTCACTCAGCATAATGCTTTCCAGGCCCTCCCAAGTTAGGTAATAATTTACAAAGTTATTGCTTCTGCCTGCTGCATAGTGTTTATTGTGTGAATTTATCATAACTTCTCAATCCATTCTGGAAGGCAGTTTGGCACTTCCTCAAAAAGCTGAACATAGAAATTCCATATGACCCAGCTATTCCACTATTTGGAATATACTCTGAGAAAATGAGAACTGAGACACAGAGATTTGTGTACCAATGTTCATAGCAGCAGCATTCACCATCTTCCCGATTTCTTGATGTGGATGAGTGTGAGCATGTCCAGTACTGCGTCTCTCTGTTGAGAGATCTCAGTTGGTATTCCGTTTGTCCATGTAGTCTTGTGTTTTGCCAGTGCCTCCAGTATGACTTGGGTTTGTCCTTCCAGTGTCATTCCTCATCATTCACTTCCACCTGAACTAGTTGAACAGCAGTTCGTTTGTGGTCTGTGTTCCTTCCATCTTCTTTTGACGTTTCCTGCATCATTCACTATTTGCCCAGAGAGTGTTTCACTACTGCAACTTGAGCCTTCAATTCTTTTCTTCCATTCTTTCAACTTGAGAAATGTCATACATATTATTCTGTCCTGGTTATCTGGGTCTTTGCACATTTTATCATTCTACTACTTACTCTGTCTTCTCATGTCACCCATTGAAATCCTCTGTTCAGCTTTTTTACTTCATCATCTCTTCCTTTCTGTATAGCTAGTTTGTGTTAAAGAGCAAGTTTGAGAGTCTCTTCTGAGTCTTATATTTTTATGTTTATTTTCCTTTACTTGTCTTGTTAATGATCTTTGGGACAGTGGTTGGTGGGGATTTTTTTCCATGTATGCTGCCCTTGATATTATCTCACAATTTGTCTGATCTTGGTTAATTATCATTTAATGGAGTTAGAAAAATGAAACTTTCTTGTAACAGAAAAGCTTTTGAGTTTGGCAATGCACAGAAATTATTGTGTATTGTAAATGTTGGCATAGAACACTTTGTAGAGTTGAAACCATCTGATCTTGAAATCATGCTTGTCCTAAAAAAAAAATGCTGATCCTCAAAAAATATATGGGTAAAAGAAGAAGCCAACAATACATATGTTGTTGTTGTTGTTGGGTGCTTTTGAGTCAACTATGACTGATAGTAACCCTGTACCAGCAAATCTGAACCTGGCCCTCTCCTCTGCCATCTTCAACTCTCTGATAGGCTGGAATCCATTGCTGCAGACATTCTATGTATCTTGATGTATAGTTCTCATCTACCTTGAGAAAGCAAGTAGACCTTCGCTAACTAACCAGTTGCTGATTGGTTGATTCTAACTCATTGCAACCTCCCATGTGCGAGGGTGAAGTTATGCGCTGTAACGTTTTCAGGAGGTCATTGGAAATTTCCAGTGCATTCAAACCACTGATCTTTGGTTCGCAGCAGAGAGCAGTAATGTTGAAAACATCCAGGAGTGCACGATAACCACTTGTACCACCAGATGCTCCCCATATTCCACAGAAGTGGTTTTAGAATTGACATCAGGTTATCTAAGTATGCAGTTTCATTTTACCTTCAAAACGACAGCATCACACACTGTATTTTCTCCTGAGGAAACAAGCCATGCTGCATACTGTGTTCACTGAGTTTTCTTCTCTTTCAACACAGGAGGACATGGGCTCGGAGGAGAAGCTATACTTTGGCTTGAATGAGTACAGCAAGTCTCTCCAGTGGGGAGTTACCAGCCCACTCCTGAGATGTGATGAGACTTTTGAAAAAATGGTGAATACACTCCTGGAGAGGTAAATAAGAACCTTCCACCTTATCCTCATCTCTGCCTGCCTGGCTCATGTAGCCAGGAGCATTGTGGGCCAATATCACAGGGAGTCTGATAAACTGCGCTATGCAAATGATGCTTGCAAAGGCAGAGTGAAAATAGCCTTTCCTAAGATGACCTTTACTCATGTGAGTTTAGTCATCCAAGATCAACCAAGGAAAAATGGTGGCAAAAATGGGAACTGTCACTTTACATAGTTTACATTGGAAACTGTATCCTAGTCCCGCATCACTAGTGCCGCCGGGAGAGTACAGGGGCTGGGTGGGCTTTGCTTATCGAAGCCTGTTCTTAGGAGGTCTGCTCATCTTCTCCCCACCTGCCCCCAGCACCCTGGACTTCTCCAGTTTCTTCTGTAGCTACTGCAGGAAGTGCCCTCAGATGACTTCCTGAAAATTAGACTTGACTCTGCAAGAATATGGAGTGTAGACAGGAAAGAATGAAGGAATGCTCACTTTTTTAGTTCAACTCTTAGGACTTCTCCTCCAGGTCCTGACCTCATGATCATGACCCTTCTGTCTTCTCGACCATCTTTTTTTCCCCTCAGTATGGCGCAGGATAGGGCATGGTTAAGATCAGGATGGCGCAGGATAGGGCATGGTTAAGTTCAGGATGGCACAGGATAGGACCCCAGTTGTTCTTCGGGTTTCTATGAGTCATAATCAACTTGATGACAGCCAACCACAACAACAGATCAAACTTTGGAAGCGTAAAGGGCATTGAGCATTCCTGTTTTTTCCTCTTGGACATTGAATCGTTGACTCGGTGGTTAGGTAGGTGGGGATTAGAACTCTAACCTTGCTCTGGTGATGTAATCCATGAGGAGTGGCACTGCTAACTCAAAGGCTATGCCTCTGGTGGTTCAAATCCACCAGTGACTCTGTGGAAGGAAGATGGACAGTCTCCTCCCAGGCCATCTACAGCCTTGGAAACCCACTGACGGTCAGTTAGGAGTTGGTTCCAACTCGGCAGCAGTGAATTGAGTAAAGTTGTCAGTCACTGTTAGCTGGAATCAGCTGGTTATACTTAACGAGCTTTCGTGGCCTAGTGGTAAGATGCTGCACTGCAATCCCAAAGGATGGGCAATTCTGTGTTACTTATTGCTTCTGAAAACCTGCTGGAGGTTCTGCTATGGGTCGGTTCCAACACCATGGCTCATAACAACAGTATACTTAACAGCATTAGACAATTAGACATGTTTGCCCCCCCCAGCTTCCACCCACCCTGCAGTATGTATGTTTGATCTTTCAGTGAGAGAAGTATTTATACTGTTTTATGATATATATTCTAAGGAGGATAGAAAGAGAATTGATGCCTTTGAGCTGTGGTGCTGAAGAAGAGTATTGAGGGTACCATGGACTGCTAGGAAAACAAACAGATTCATCCTAGAAAGGGTCAAACCGGCGGCTCCTTGGAGGCAAGGATTCTGAGGCTCCATCTAACTTACTTTCTAACATATGTTGTAAGAAGGGACCGGTCCTTGGAGAGGGACATCATGCTTGGTAGAGTGGAGGGACAGCGCAGGAGGGGAAGGCCCTCTATGAGGTGGATTGATTCAGTGACTGGGGTAATTCGGGATGGGTATATCGGAGACGGTGCGATTGGCACAGGACAGGGCAGAGTTTACTCCTGTTGTACATAGGATTGCTATGAATCGCAAACGACTCAACAGCACATAACAACAACAACAATTCTCACTATTACAAATCTTAGCTTTGAATTTATCCTTCTTTACAGTAACATCACTCATCTCTCAACTATTGCTCACAGTCAATTACAGGTCGACCTACTTGTCTACCCTTCTCACTACAGTAACATCACTTAGCATTTGATAACTGGCATTTTAAAGTATAATCCTGTTAGCATGTGTTACAATGTGTATAATAAACTACAACTACAGCTGAATGCAGGAATAACAGATTGGGGAAACTGTTCCTTTCTAAATCTATTGTTCTTCCATATCATAAAATTAAAATATTCTGAGCTCAGTGCCTCTACAGGACTTCCCCAGACAGTTCCAAGGCTAAAAGTCCTCAGGGAGTCAGACGGTGACATCTTTCTGCAGCTGGTGGGTTCAGAGCACCGATATTTTCCTTAACAGCCCAACATTTAGCCTTCTCCATCACCAGGGCCTGTGTGTTAAAGGTGCCATTTAATCTAGGTTTGGGTTTCCCAGTAACCCAGCAAAAAAAACCACTAAGCTTAGATGTGAAGAATCTGTGCCTTGTTCTTCCAAGGCAAATCACCTCAGGCTAATAATAGCAATAATTTATTGAATGCCTGAAGGGACTGGCCCAGGATTGATTGTACCGAAAGATGTCAGCACTTCCCCCAGCTTGACATTGAAGAGGCAGAGACTTGACTAAAACCTCGATCCATCTCTGTCTCTCAGCTGAGTCTCAGCCCAGGCTTTCTTCTCTAAGAGGGAAATGGTTAGATTCCAGGGCATCTAGGTGCCTCCCAGCTCAAAAATATAACAGAACCATGTTATCTTCCAGATGGCCTCTATGGGTGTCTGACCCTGGGCTGCTCTTGAAAGGGCAGTGCCCCAGTTGTCTCTCTGTAAATAGAATTATCAGTGAACATAACAGTGAAACGCCTGGGCCTCCTCCCTCAGCTGCTGGCAGGCTGTGTGTGTCATAGGCTGGCGAGCTTAAAGGAGAGTCCACAGACGAGGCCCCATCCCACCAGAATCCACAGGAGGCTGAGTCAGCCAGGGACCTCCTTTTGTCAGCACCCATTTTTTAAATTTATTTCTTTCATGTTTAAAAGTGGAGCTGTTTTGTCTGTTCATACTCTTTTTATTACGCTGTAGGTCTCGATCTCTGTAAGCTAGCCAGTCCCTCTGTAATTGTAGACAATCACTAATTTGAAAAGAAATTCTCCCTTTACCTGCATTAGGCCAGTGGAGAAGTGGTGGCCCGCATGCTGGCATGAGGAGAAGCTGGTTTGCAGGTTGCCCTGCAGGGACCCCCACATCGCTCAAGGCAGGAAGCTGGGTTGCAGGTGATAGGGCACACCACTAGGGGGTACTATTTCTCCAGTCAGCTCCACGTTTCTTCCAGCACCAAGAATGCTTCATGGGAAGGTGAAAAATTAGTTGTCTCATGGGAATGCCCTGAAATTAGTAATATCAATTATCCCATTTATGCCAGTAATCCTCAGATGTTTCTCTAGTGGCCAGTCCACAGCGCAGCCCCTCTCTGGCGGTTCAGATCAACCCACTGCTTCGCACGAGCAAGATGGGCAGTGTCCTCAAGTGCAGTTTATTGTTGAGTTCCCTGGAGTCAGAACCAACCCACAGCTAACCTTCCAACGGGTTTTCAGAGGCAGTAAATTGCATGCGAGATTGCCCATCTTTCTCCAGCAAAACACCTGGGGAATTCAAACTGTATGTTTGAGGCTGCAGTGCACTCTAGACCACCCAGAGCTGGAGGCTTGGACCCAACTCGATGGCAGTGGCTTTTTTTTTTAAGAGGGCTGACTTCAAACTAGTATTATCAGTTATACCTTTTATGCCTCATTCTCCTCAGACATGACATTCATTATCTCAGTGAAATACCAGAACTAATCTGACACCTGGGAGCTCAGGTGGCCTTAGGTGGGTAAGAAGTCGCATTGCCAACCCAAAAGCAGACAGTTCAAATGTGCCATCTGCTCCACAGGAAAGAGGTGAGCCGTCTCCTCCTGTGTGGATTATGGTCTCTGAAAACCTGCTGGAAGGTCAGTGATGAGTCAGTTTCTGATGCCATCGCAGTGACTGACCGACTGAACCTGAGAACACCAGGATTCTAAAACAGTGTCTTCACACCACACAGTAAAAGGATCCATTGTGACAGTCAACAGTTAACCTAAGGAGACTGAAGCTGCTTAGAATTTAATGCGTGTGCATGTTTCCTGGGATCTTGTTGAACTCCAGACTCTGGTTCAGTGGGCCTGGGCTGAGAGGGGCTGAGAGTTTGTGTTTCTAGTAGGTTCCCAGCTGAGGCCATCCCTACAGCTCTTTAAGTTGTACCTACCGCAGGAGGTTTAGAAGTTGAGCTTGTCCTTTCTGTGATGTGGGATCTTGTTCTAGAGCTGCCCCACTGTGTGACAGTCCCTTCGCGCCCTGCTCCCCCACATCCTCACTGCACAGTCCTCGTCTGAGTGCTGACCCCCTTATCCTGTTGCAGGTACCCCCGGCTGCACAGCATGGCCATCCGCTGCTACCTCCTCATCCAGCAGTACTCCGAGGCCCTGATGGCGCTCACCACGGTGGCCACCCTCCGAGACCACAGCACCCCAGAGACGCTCAGCATTATGGATGACCTCATCAGCTCTCCAGGGAAGAACAAGAGCGGGAAGGGGCCCATGCTCCTCATCCGGGTGCCCTCGGTGCAGCTGGCCATGCTGGCCAAGGAGCAGCTGCAGGAGGTGCGCGACAAGCTGGGCCTACAGTACCGCTTCGAGATCGTCCTTGGCAACCCGGCCTCCGAGCTCAGCATCGCAGCTCACTTTGTGGCACGATTAAAGGTTAGCAGTGTGCAAAATTTCTCCTTCCAGATGCCATGAGTCTGGTTTTTAGGGACTCTTCCGAGGTGGGTCAGATGTCTGGGTATAATAGATCTTTGCACATGTGTGAATTTGATCTCCATGACAATCTGAAGGTTAAAGTAAGTAAGGCAGGCACTCACCATCTTACTAGGAATCTGCTTGTAAACATTCTCTCAAGCGCCCCTCTAGCACGTGCACCCAGTTGCCTAGGTTGAACCCGTGTTTACTGATCATTCTAGATCCATCTAGTGCATGGCCCTCTGTTTGCTCAGGAGGTAAAAAAAAAAGGTAAGTTTTCCCCCCAGGCCTCTGTGACCTACTCCTTTCAATATTATCAATTCATGATTTCTTTTCTGTCTCTAGCTTCTTATCAGCTCATGTCTAAAGTGGGTAAAATATTCTGTTCTCAGTATTCGTGTAGAACAATCCCCAGCCCTCTTGCATGTGGACTGCTCCACAGTTTGTGCTTTCTCTGGAGCTGTTTGGCACTCGGCCTCAAGGCCTTGGCTAGGCTGAACCATGTGCAGACAGCTGGTATAGGTGTTGAGAGTGCATGATCAGTAGAGTCCTTCGCTGGCCCCTTGCACCATGGTGACCACAGACTTCTACATCCCCCTCCTGTCAGGCGTGGACAGGGAGTAGAATTCCTGAGTCAACTAACCCTGACTTCCTGCCTTACACACCGCTGAGTTTTTGTTTTGTTTTGTTTTGTTTTGTTTTGTGGAGTGTTTTATAATCCATGGTGCCCTAGACACTAGAAAGTGTTTCTTAAGATGTTTATGTCTGAACTAAACCAACAAGGTATCTGCTACCTGTCCACTAAGTAATGAGTTGATTGAGGGTTTAAAAAAAAAAAAACTCTAGTTCTGCATAAATTTTATGAAAAAAAACTACATGTAGTCTGGGGGAAATTGCCTTTTTACCCTGGATGAAATTAGCAAAATGACAACGTCAGGCTATGACACAAGAATTCTTATCTGGGGATTACAACTTTGTGTTCAAAAAGTATTTGGCAAATAGAAACCATTTCTATTATATTTTATCAGCTAACCTAATTCTAATAATCTAAAATGCAAACAAACCATCTTGGTTCAATAAGCAACTAGAGTAGATACATTTGTTCTAAAACAGAAACACTTATATTTAGTGGAAGTTTTAACATTCACATTTCATATGTTGTTGTTGTTAGATGCCATCAGGTCAAATACCACTCATAGCAACCCTATGAACTGCAGATCTATATCATTCCTATCCTGAGCCATCTTCCCAGTGCTCCTGTCCGTTGTTAGAGTCGCTCTGTCGGTCCATCTTTTTTGAGGGTCTTCATCTCTTCCTCTGACCCTCCACCCTGCCCAACATGATATCTTTTTCCAGTCACCAGCCCCTCCTGACTATATGTTCAAAGTAAGTGAGACAAAGTTTCACCAGCTTTGCCTCTGAGGAACAAGTCAGTTGCACTTTCTTCAAGATCAATTTGTTTGGGTTTTTTGGCAGTACATGGTCTATATATTCAGCACTCTCCAACACAATTCATAGACATTGATTCTTCTTCAGTTTTCCTTACTCATTGTCCAAATTTCAGATGCACAGGAAGCAATTAAAAATACCAGGCTTGAGTGATGCTCAACCTATATTTCATATAGTTACATAAAGAGTCAGTGTTAAATGTTAGTCATAGATCCCCTCAAAGTGGAATTCTTAGGCTAAATAGCAAACATGATTCCTGAAGCCTTTCTCACAGTGTAACTTATCAGGACATAAGACTTGGATGATTTGAATAATGCTAATAGCTGAAGGAAGGAGCCCTGGTAGTGCAGTAGTCAAGACCTCAGCTGTTAACTGAAAAGTCAGTGATCTGAACTCACCATTTGTTCCCTGGGAGGAAGATGTGACTGTTTCCACAGATCACGGCAGTCCTCCTCTGTATGTCCATGCAGAGTGTCCACGGAGTTCCACTATTGAGTCCTCATTGAATCAGAATCAACTTGGCAGCAAAGAGCAGTGGATGAAGAATTGGGAAAAGCAGATAATTAGCACTGCTGGGTGCCAGGAGACCATCTAAAAGGACGTGAGACTGCAGCGTCTTCTCTTAGTCCTCATTGGCTCTGATTTAGTTACAGCTACTTAGAGAGTATTCCGTCTCTTGATCAGACCCTTCAGAAATTCCAGTCATCACTAAGTCAGCATAAATAAAAACCAGTTGCCTCAGTGAGTCCCTCAGTGAGTTGGTGTGTGTCAGAGCAGAGCAATGTTCTGTAGGGTTTAAATAACAAACAATGTAATGGACTGGGCACATGTTCTGTAAAAATGTCTAACAGCAAAGAGGTCACTGTGAAGACTAAGGTGCACCTGGCCTGTGCCATGGTATTTTCAGTTGTGTTACATGCATGAGAAAGCTGGTTAAGGATGAGCTTGCAGAACTTACGCCTTTGAATTATGGTGTTGACAAAAGTTATCGAGTGTGGTGGACTCTCAACACAATGGATCCACACCGTGACTGGAGCAGTGGCTCGAGCATGTTAGGGATGGGGAGGACGGTGCAGGATAGGGCAGGGTTCAGTTCTGTTGTTCACAGGTCACTGTGCATCATAGTTTACTAGATGGCACCTAACAACAGCAACATGGGCCGCAAGAGCAAACAGATCTCTCTTAGAAGAAGTACAGTCCTTTGTAATGAGGACAGTAAGATGTCTTCTCAAGTAGTTTGGGTCTGGTATCAGAAAGGACCAGTCCCTGAAGAAGGACATCAGGCTTGGCAGAGTCAGAAAGAAGAGGAATTCCCACAGTGAGATGCATGGATTCAGTGACTGCAGCACCAGCCTCAGGCCAGGGACGGACTGTGAGGACTTAGACGGCCGTCCGCTTTGCTGTGCGTAGGAGCTTCAGAATCTGAACCAAACAAGGGCGCCCAGCAGGGTCAGAGTTGGAAAACCACAGTCAGACATAAGGTTCTTAACCTGACTGCTGCCATGTCAGAATCACCTGCAGGGCTTTTCAAAGGCATTTGAGCCACACACATTTGGAGGATGTGTGACAAAGACCCAGAGTTGTATCCACGTGTGTCTCAAGCAGCTGCTTCTCAAAGCAGTTATATCTCCTTCCTTTCCCGTTAGTGATTGCCAAGTACCAACTACACATGAAGGAGTTCTGTATTCCCAGAACCACTGGGCTGTGTCAACTATCATTTACATCCTCTTATTTATATGAGAGTAAAAGATGAGATCATCCCTAAACAAACTTGCTGCCAGATTGTCTGGTTCACCTTTCAATTCCTTAAGTACTAAGAATCTATTTCCTTAGTGTATGAGTAATGTCTTTAATCTCTAGTCTTGAGTAGCCTCTTCTTCCCTGAGGTTGCCTGTTTGTTCCTAACTCTCCTGTATTGGATATTACTGATCACTAGTGGTGTCATTAGTAAGGAGTTGAGGTGCTACCTCAATGTCTGTGTGTTTCTGGTGGTTTGAATCCACCAGTCATTCCTTGTGAGAAAAATAGGTAATCTCCTCTCATGTGATTTATGGCCCCTCTGGAGGGTCACCTATGAGTTGGAACTGACTTGATGGCAATGAGAAGGAGAAGTGAAGTCTTGAGTGAGGACAAACATTTGGAAAGGATGTTGTTGTTGTTGTTGTTGTTATATACCATCGAGTTGGAACTAAACCTTAGCTGACCCTCCAGCAGCTTTTTGGAGGCAGTAAATCACACAGGAAGAGATTACACATCTTTGTCCTGAGTGAGGAGCAGTTGGTCAGTCTGAACCATGTGCTTCTAAGTTGGCAGTGCAACTCCTTACCACGAGGAAACCAGAGCTTCCTGTGCGACAAAGATACATCATTTAAATCCGAGTAAATTCTTCCGGGATGTGAAGCTCTCAGCAGATGAGAGGAGGACCTTGGATGAGATGGATTGACACGGTGACTGCAGTAGTGGGCTCAGGAATGTCAAGATGATAAGGATGGCACAAGATAGGACGGGGTTCAGCTCTGATATTCGTAGAGTCACTATGAGTCATACTGAGCTTGATGGCACCTGACAGCAGCAGTGCTTGTCTGCAGGACAGTCACCTGAGGACCCATACAAGAATTCATTTCAGACATCAGTTGTCAAAAGAAACACTGTGATGAAAAAGCACTTGAGAGTGGCTTCGTCCAGCTCTGATTTCTTAAAACTGAAAGTGGTATTTGTTTATTAGTGTCTTCTAAACAAGACTTAAGACTGGTTCATCATGGTTTGGCCCCCACACCATCCCACGTACCCACTCCTCAGTGAGAATTTACCTTTCCACCCCAGTTATTTCCAGCCCAAGAATAGCTCTGGTGGCACAGTGGTTAAAAGCTATGCTGCAATCCCAAAGGCACATGGTTTGAATCCATCACCTGGTCATAAGAGACAGCTGGGTGGTCTGCTCCGGTGTGATTTCCTGCCTCTGAAAACCTACTAGAGGGTTGGCTATGGGTTGGTTCTGATTCGATGGCATAAACAACCACTACTCCAGATATACTGAATCAAAATCTATAGGTAAACAATATCTCCAGGTGAACTTTATGTACACATAAAGAAGGAAAAACCCAACCAAAACTTAGCTACTGTTTAACTTATTTGTTTATTTGATAAGTGATAAGAGTTAGCATAGTCCTTGAGGAGTTAACGCTGCTAACATTAAGGTAACAGGTTCAATCCACCTGTGACTTCTCAGAAGAAGGAAGGGCAATTTCTCTATGCCATTTGTAGCCTCCAAAAACCCTCTGGAGGGTCAGCTAAAGTTGGCTCAAACTCAACAGCCATGAGCTGAGCAGAAAGAACAGTTGTATGCAGAGATGTCTCTCTGGAGACTAAGGTGCGCCTGATACAGGCCATGGTATTTGCAATCGCTTGTTATGCATCAGAGAGTTGGACCATGACTAGGGAGGACAGAAGGAGAGTGGATGCTTTTGAGCTGTGGTGCTGGAGAAGGGTACTGAATGTACCATGGACTTCCAGGAAAACAAACAGATTCATCTTGGAGAGGATTAAACCAAGCTACTCCTTGGAGGCAAGGATTCTGGGACAGCGTCTGTCATACTGTGGACATGTTGCCAGGAGGGACGGGTCCTTGGAGAGGGACATCATGCTTGGGAGGGTGGAGGGACAGCGCAGGAGGGGAAGACCCTCTATGAGATGGATTGATTCGGTGACTGGGGTAATCGGGATGGGTGTGTCAGAGGCGGTATGGTTGGCGCAGGATAGAGCAGGGTTTAGGGCGGTTGTGCATAGGGTCGCTATAAGTCGCGAACGACTCGACGGCACATAACAACAACAACATCTAAGAATCACCTAGGAATCTGTAAGAATGAATGTGTCAAAGTCATGCTTTAAAATACGCTTGCTCATGTGGTAAAAATATATTCTCTATTATCCTATTGTAACATGATCTCATTACTGGTAGAGCCATGATCTGAGGATTGTTCCTGGGAGTTGAAATACACTGGGGAAATTCAGACATCAAGGATAACAAGAGATGAATGTAAAGACTCTTAAGAAATCCAATTTCTGCTTCTGAAATTGTTTACCTTAAATCAGTTGGTGATATGGTTCCCTTTGACATGAAAATATATACTCAAAGTTGAATGTTAGTAAAGAACTTTTCTCATCTTTAAAATCTTTCTGACAAGTTGCATCTTCAAGATTAACATCCCATTTCTTAAAAATCTATATGTGTATATATATTTGTATACACACACATGCATACATAAAGTTTTTTTATTTTATTTTAGGATGCTTCAGTCAGACTCTTGGAAAGCTCTAACCCAGTAATTTATTTGAGTTGGTTATTTCTGTAATTAATAAAAGGAGTTCTCAAGAATGGCTAACGTTCATGATTTCCTTGGCGAAAATGTTAGTCTTGGTGGAATTTTTTTTGTGGTTCTTTTCTGAGTTATTCACAATTGCAGCTGTTCTAAGAGTGTGCACAGTGCAACAATGAATGAATGAGAACCCAAAATCTCTCTAAATGTTCATTAAAACTAATAAAATTTAATAATAATT